ACAGAAATTCATCCGAGTTTTCATTTGAAGCCCCCTCATATAAACTATGCAATATGGTATAAACAAATTCTAAAACATGTAAGTGGGTAACACAAAATCAATATCATAACTGTTTCAAGAACATGAACAAACAAACAAGATACATAATTGTCTGACATGATTGTCATGCAGCAAGTCCATTGGAGAACATCATTCTCATTATTTTAAATGATTCCATGAGCATGCTTAAGAAGATAGGGAGAGGATGGATTCGAAGATAATGGTTAGAGTGGCTGAGGAAATCTCATCTGACAGGAATCAGTTTCATTTTGGTGTTGTGACACTCTGGGGTATGAGGGAAGGGACAAGCGGATTGGCTTGCTAGTAGGGCCATTGTAAGTACAGGAAAAGCAATGGACCTGGTCGACATTCTAATACTCTCAAGCAGGCAGGACGAGGAGTTGATTCAGGAGACGATGGTCAGCAACACTCAAAAGACTATAAGAACTTCAGGTCAAAAGAGCTGTCGCCAAACATGAACACTAAATAGGCAGCCAAAGATGAATAGTAAACCAACACAGAACTAGTGTTTCAAGTTGCCACATGCTGGAGGGAATATATTAAAGATAGATCTGAGTGCTTTTGGACTGGTCTGTCGTGCAATGAGGATAATCTGTTGTTGAATAACAAACTAACAAACTGCAATGAAAACTTGTTGGAAAGATTCTCGGTCCTGTGCCAGTACCTCCCTGCTTTATCCATTTTTACTACAAATGTATCTTCAATGTCCAGTCATAAAAAGTTAATTATAATATATAATGTGTTGGTTTCCTCTTGCTATCCACATTCACACTATTTTAGACAAAACCTCAAAATTTACCAATCCTAACTCTCAGTATTCTCTTGCCAGCTATAACCACCAATATACAACAGCAAGCATACAGTAACAAAGCAGATTTCTTTTGCTTCTTCTTCCATGTTCACCCTTCAAAGGGCAGTTGGCATTCTTTGTTGTGGCTGTAGTATCCATATCTTCTGCCTCATTCACGTATGGTAGCCCTTCGCCTGGGTACATGGACCTCAGAACAATGTAATATCACCCCAGGACTACCCCAGGGTTCTGCAATTTCACCAGTGCTCTTTAATGTGTATACAAGCAAGATTGCAGAACTTGAATCACCAGGTGTTGGAAGAATATTGATATTTACTGATGATGTTTTTGCATATAGGCAGGGGAGAGATAGGCAACGGATAGCTCACGAGCTACAAGCAACTGTGGACAAAGTGACTGACTGGTGTGCAGAAATGGGTGCTGTAATCAACTCACAGAAGGCAGCTGTTTTGTGGTGTTCTCTGGACAATAGAATTGTAAAAGCTGGCGTTCCAAACCTCACAGTTCATAACAGTAACATCAAACGAGAAAGCAAACTGAGATACCTGGGTATCATTTTTGATAGAAGCCTGTCATTCAGGAATCATGTGGATGCAGTTGCGGTGAAATGCCAAAAAGGACTCAATGCTCTCAAGATTATGGCAGCAATGGACATGGAACAAAGAATGTTCTTCACAATGTTCCAGCATGTGATCCTTTCGCTGATAGATTATGGACTTGGCATGCTTACCATATCAAAGAGTCAGCTGATGAAACTTGAACGCATACATAATGAAGCCATGCGGGTGATTCTGGGATGTACAAGAGATACCCCGGTAGTATGTATGCGATATATACTTGCACTGCCTACTATAGCTGATAGGCTCCAAGTTCTGCAGGCAGTCATATCTCAGAGTGGCTGCGGACAAGAGGCATCTCTGCATGAAGCCCTGGATAGAGCTAAGGGTCACAGATTGAAAAGAGGAAAGTCTCGGATGGCGCAAGCTGAAGACATAATTCGACATGTGTGCAGGCTTGATAAATTTAGGTGAGGAGAGGAGTGGGTCAAAGTGTCCGATCATGTTTCAGACTTGTGTAGAGTTCTAATCACTTTGGGACGTAAGTGCAGGGACGCCAACTGGTGCTGCAGAATCAGAAGTTCAACAAATGATTCATGACAATTCCCGCCCAAGTAATGTGATTGTATATAAGATGGCTCTGTGGTGAGGGGCAGGCGAGGTGCATAGGGGTTCATAGCGATGGCAGATGGACGTCACTTGGCGCAACAAAGCCTGGCATATGATATCACATCTAGTTTGAGAATGGAGATGGAGGCAGTCACTGCTGCCTTCCGTTGGCTTGAGAATCAGCAGTACACACATGTCATCATTGTAACTGACTCACAGTGCATGCTGAGAAAGGTGGAGACAGGCATGCTCCATGCATAGTGTCAAGCATCACTTCACAGAGATCCCGGGCAGTTAGCATCCTTTGGATATTTTATCCAGGTCACACCGGTGTGTTGGGAAATGAGCAGGCGGATAGAATGGCCGGTTCTGCACTATTTGGTGGTGAACTGATGTATGACAAGCTGGATGCTGTGAGGGCCCTTTGGGAGCGAGTGAACAGTGCCGAGGAACAGATAGATCATTACGGTCTGAGGAGAATAGCACTGTGAGGAGTTACAAGGGGATCTGGCCGAAGCTTCGAAACTCGAGGGAGAGGCGAGACGGATATACAGTCAGACTGTTACTGGTACCATCGGAATTTTCATTCTGTGCTTGCTGCTGAAAATGGGGGACGGAGCGTTTATGGGAGTGTCCTGAGTGCTGTGATGTCAATTCTAAATTCAACATACATCCAATATCAGAAACTACTTTAAGAGTCGTCTTTTACAACAAACTTATTTGGCAACAGTTAGCCTATTCTATTCCTCTTGTTTCCCCCCCCCCCCCCCCCCCCCCCCCCCCCCCCCCCCCCCAAATACAACAAGAACAATGGGCATATAACCAACATGGATAATGAAAGAGAAAAAAAACTTCTTTAATGCTGAAACAAGTTTACCTTGAGTTTTTAGAATACTATGGGCATCGTTCATCATCCCAGATGTTAAGGACACTTTCCTGGCTAGTGCAGTTCTGCTTTTTATATCTGATATTTCTTCACCTTTATAGAATCAATTATTATAAAAATAAGTGTATAACTGGTTTTTGCTTGTGCTCTCTTGGCAGCCACTGTACTATAGCGGCCACACCCGCCTCTGGATCGGAAGGTCGTGGGTTTAGGTCCTGACGGTACCAGACTTTTAAAAAAAATGACCCTTGCTCAAAGGTCAACCCAGCCTCGAATAGGTACCAGGCAGAATCCTGGAAAGTAAAGGGGCTTGTGTGATGCTGACCAAATTACCTACCATGTGCCGTTGGGTCTATAAAATACAAGTCTAGCCCTAAAAACCCAATGAAGGTGGAAAGGGCCCATTACTTTTTATGTGCTATCTTACTGAATTAAATCTTTCAGTTTCATAGAGGTATGAGTTAAACAGCTGGGAGCAGCTGCATTGTAGCGACTAGAAGCTCATCTCTGTCCCGAAGGTTCAGGGTTCAATTCTGTATCAACACACAAAAAAACACGTGGCTCCTAGGTTGGCCCAACATAAAATGAGCACTAGGAAAAGTCCTGGCAAGTAAAGGCAGCTGGTGTGATGCTCACCACATCACCCATCAAGAGCCAATGGGCTTATAAAAATATGAGTCAAGCATCATATGCCTAATTTGCCACTAGCATAAAAATGGTCCTTTACTTTACTTACATTTACAACTTGAATACATTTTATCAGTCTAGTCCAAAAAGTTATTTGATTAATAAATTATTTGATCCAGGTTTCAACTTCACTGCAATCAGGTCACCCCATACTTGCTTCGTTCCTGTGCCAGTGAAAATCAAATGAAATATTCTTCACTGTCCAATTTGAAAAACTGGTTAACAAACAATTAATCCCAGCACTATTCAGAAATATGCGCATGCAATAAATGCATAAGGCCGTTGCTAGAGGCGCTAAAGCCAACAGTCAAGACCAGCAATGCAGTTTGCCGTTGATGAAAGTAGTCGGGCATGATAAGCGGCTACCAGTCATATTAAATACAAGGACTCAACCACTGCATAAATGAAAGGCATTTCACATAGGGGGAAAAAAAACACAGCTCACAGGGCTGCACCAAGCACTAAGCTCAGTAGCTCACACACTCTGAAATTGTACACTACCTTCCATATGTGGAAACTGCATTAGCAAGGCGCTGTTGGAAGCAGAAATAACTTTGAGGCTAAATATTCTGCCATACCTCTGTCCTCCATTTTAGACGTGAAGTTTGGATCTAAAGTAGCTGAATATGAAACACTATAGGCACAGTCCAATAATGTAGCAACTGGATGGGAGAAAAGAGCTGAGGAAAATATTTCATGTCAGTCCTCTTTTTCTGCCTTTTTAATTCCCAATGGAGCATAGGCCCTCAACCAATTCAGGCCAGGTTGTTCTATCCTTTGCTATCACATGCAGCTCTCCCTGTGTCCTCCCCTTCTTTTTAACTTCACTCTCTAGCTCCCTTCTCCGTATGTTTTTTTTTGGGGGGTCTTCCTTTATTTCTATGTTTCTGTGGTTTCCAGTGCAAAGACATTCTTGTTATATTGTTCTCAGATTTCCTCAATGTGTGCCCTATCCAATGCTAGCATCTTTTCTTCACCCCTCTCAATGAGTATGTGTGTGTGCATGAGTGTGTGGTGTGTGTGTCCTTTTTTACAGTTTTCTCCCCCAAGGACTGCAGTCTGTACAACATCTCAAGGATGAGAATCAAAACAGGTACAAGTACCAGAAACCTTACTGAAACATATAGCTAATCAGCATTTATACTGAGGCACCACAATATGGTTACCATATAACCTGAAGTCCAGTGTGGGTGGATCTCTTTTGTACCCACCCACATGCTGGTAAGGACTGTTTGTTCACTGAAGGTGAGATGGATATACAAGCAGAGTTACTGGTGCCATAGGAAATGGAACTCTTTGCTTGCTGCTGAAGATGGGGATGGAGCGCTTATGGGAATTTTCCTGAGTGCTGTTATGTCGATTCTTAATTCAACATTCAACATTCACTGACCTATACTTTTATACTCCAGAGATGTCAAAAGTTCATCCCGCAAGGACCACAGAATTCCTTGACAGTCATGTTGGCTAGAACCATTCAATGTGAGGTACTTTTCGTAAACAGCTGTCACCAATCCAGGCTCATTTACCATCTTGTTCTTGTTTTCCTTATCAAAGGACAGAGCCCATATACAGCATAAAGCTTCTGTAAACAAGAGAATACAGACCCATATGAATAACATTACATGCAAGGACATGAAGATAAGGCAGGAATCTTTACAGCCAAAAATAAATTGCTACAAATAAAAAAATTAACTCTTTTCTGTCTCAAGCAACACACTGTGTGTGTTCAGCTGTTACCCTAATATCTCCATAGATGATTGGTGTGTTACTGTATTATTTAAATTTTGACTGAGCATACTACAGAAACCTGGCCAGATATTGTTACATGTAGAACTATAAATGCTGCCTATTTGGATGTTACAGACCCATGCTTTCATCATGGGTAAGAATGCTCTCTAACAAAAGTGTTTAAAAAAAAAAAAAAAGATGGAGGTTGGGGAAAAAACATGAAAATGAAGAAGAAGATGGAGAAGAGATAAAAAAAAAAGGCTCAGGAGGAAGAAAGATAAGAAAAAGGATAAGTAAGAGAAGGCTGAAGAAGAAGATAACAGAGCAGGAGGACGAATAATGCAGAGGAGGAACATAAGGCATAGGAGGAAAATGGATAAGAAACAGGAGGCTAACAAAGAAGAAGAGGCGTCATAAGAGGAGGAATAAAGATAAGAAAGAACAAGGTAAAGGAAGAGGAAGGATGCAAAAGTAGAAGGTAGAGGAACGGGCTAAAAAGCAGAGAAGAAAAAGAAAGAAGCAGCAGCAGTGCGGTATCAATAGCTTTCAACAATCATAGAGAAAACAACTAATTGTAGAACTATAATAATATGTTCCTGCTAAAAAAATTATTTTGGCCGTCAAAAAGCACAATGAAGAAGACAGTCTATCTCTGAATCTGAAAAAAAAAAAATAATGTCAATTATGAATACAGTACACCAAACACATATTAAAATCGACAATGAAAAGATTGAAAGTGTCCCACATACTGGATATTTAGGCTCAATAAGGAACAACAATGGCAATTGAATAAAAGAAGTAAGAAAAGCACTTGCTTTAGCAATGAGGAGACCTAACAGTATGAAGAACCTGTCTGTGGCTCAAATAAAAATTTTGAGATCATGCATTTTTCCCACATCAACTTATGGATGTGGGTTATGGACTCTCACTAAGTCTCTGAAGAAGAAATCTGAGAAATGCTATAGAAACATTCTTAGACTATCATGGACCAAGAAGAAGAAAATGTCTACCTCCTGCATGATCAAGGGAAATTGGCTCATAAACAGCATTCTCTCCCAAAAGCGGTGGTATTTTGGACATGTCAAGTGCCATGGTGGTCTGGAGAAAACAGGGATACAGGGTACAGTTTCCAGGAAACGAGGCAGAGGCTGACCTCCCCGAATGTGGATACAAGATGCATTGGCTGTGAAAGTACTCATGGCTGGAGAATTGGCTAGAGAAAGAGGTGTGCCATGAAGACAGTGGCATTATGTTAAGAACATGCTGACCGACTGATGGACTGTTCTTGCTGTAGTCATCTGTTTACCTTTAATTTCCCTTTCCTCGCCAGCATTCAGCAGCTCAACAAGAAGTGGTAGACAGCCTTCATCAACCAGGACTTTCTTGTTGGCATCATTCCTGGCCAGTTTCCCAATAGCTGTGTAATGTATGCAGAAACAACATTGGATTCAACAGTGGAAAGTGTGGATGCTGGATATTACACAAACATATGAACGCATGTGTATACAGATGCACACACATACACAGTCAGGCATACACACACATAAAAACAACAATGACATCTTCCATGCCCTATCTCTTTCACTCTTGATGCATATATAATCACAAAGGACTCTTCTACAGAACTGAGTTCACAGCGCACTGTTTTATCCCGTAGTGTTTCTCTTCACAAAGCAGTTCTTCGCCCGTCGAACGTGTCGCACTGAATTTACCTTTTTTTTAAATCATCTGGGGGGGGGGGGGGAATGATGTGTATCACAGTGTAGTCATGCATAAGTAGTGTAGTCAGTATGAACTGTGCCACTTAAAATTTTTTAACTCACCCCCCCCCCCCTTCCCCTTTTTCCCCCACAATAAAAACAATATCCATAACATTTCCAGCACTTACTGAGGATTGAACCATGGTCTCCCATGTGAGAACCCAACGCTCCTACTATTCAGCCAGCCACTCCTTAAGGTGTCACACAAAACTTGATAAATCCAGATCCAAGGAATCTCAAAAGTCTCACCAAGTTAACCCATTGACTACCATGATCGCACATTATGCAATCGCCCGGCAGTTATGCCTGGCTACTATGATCACTCCCTCTGCTATCGTAACTCTGGCCACTCACCACTGTGTTAAACATACCATTTCCCCACACAAACACACATAACAAATCCTTCTCCCTTCCTACACAAAACTATACCTGTAGTCAATTCAGCAGCTGACCACCCCAAATCCTTGTGATCCTCCTTCTTCAGGGCTTTGCTCAACTTCTTTATCATAAACTGGAAAATGGAGACATGGGTACTTAGTAGTTCTGCTTCCTCCTCATTCACCAACAGTGCCAGAACTGAGATGCTGCTCAAACGAATGTTCTCATTATTGGAGTCCAGATACGGAATGGCCACCTGTGAATGTTGTGTAGTAATGTTAATGCATCCAGTACAAAGCCAATGACCAAGGTTTACTTCAGACATGACATCATAACTATCAAATATTCTCAACTCACAGAGCATGTTGAGAAAGGTGGAGGCAAGTATGCTCCATCCAAAGTGGCAAGCATCGCTTCAGATGTCCTGGTCAGTTGGCGCCTTTTGGATATTTTCTCTAGGTTATGCCAGTGTTTTGGGAAATGAACAGCCAAATAGACTAGCAGGTTCTACACCACATGGTGGTAAACTAATGCACGACAAGCTGGTTGTTGTAAGGGTCCTTTTGGAGTGAGTTAACAGTGCAGCAGTATAAACAGATAATCATGGTCTGAGGAGAACTGTGCCGCGAGCAGTGACCAGGGGATCTAGTGTCAGTCAATACCCAAGGAAAAATGCAAGTTGGACATACAATTAGACTGCTACTGGTAACATAAGAATTAGAACTATGTGCTTGCTGCTAAAGATGAGGATGAAGCACTTATGGAAATGTTCTGAATGCCGTGATGTTGATTCTTAATTGAAAATTCAAAATATTTAAGCCTTTTAGCTGACCATTGTGTGTAGCGACCGTCAGTCTCTAGGGAACAATCTTCAGTCCTATATTCTGAGCCTTGTCCAGTTTTCCCATTGTTGTCTTGGCTGCTGTAGCCCATGCAGTGGAGGCATATTCTTTGACTGGCCTGACTGCTCCAGTATACACTTGTTTCAGGATTCTGGAGCTGGCGCCCCATGTGGTACCCACTAGTTTTTTCATCACCTTGAGTTTCTTGAATGCTTCCCCCTAGAGTGCTTCTACATGTGACTTCCAAGTTAGTCACAAGTCAAGTGTAATACCAAGAAAGGTAGGAGTGTCAGTCTATGGTATGAGTTGGGTTTTTTAATCCAGGTTCTAATTTTTTTTTCTTTTTTGGGTGAGATGGCAAAAAAGTGATGCTGTGCTTTTTGAATTATTTAGCTTTAGACCCCACTTTTTGGTCCAGGCTTCTACATTTTCCAGTTTTCTGTATGAGATACACGGCTGTGGTGGTGTATTCTGAGGCTGTCCAAATGTTACATAAAAGACCAAGCCACCCCTTCGTCTTGGACTTGTCCAGATCCTGTCACCTATATGCAGATGAGACTAAGTTTAAAAAAAGTCCTGTCTCTATAAGTATATAGTCTATCTTTGGTAAATATAGGTCTTTGGGTCGAGTTAAGTACTCCTATATGTACCAATTCTCTTGGGAACGTTATAGTTTTGAATCTATAATCTTAGGTCAAAGATTCATTGGTAATTATTGGCAAAAGTCCTTTGGGCAGAGCGGATGAATATTTTCCTGCCTTCTTCGAAAGAGACGCTTGTGTCATAACTATTCTTGATCAAGTCTTCATTGTGAAAGGACGCTTTTGTTTGCCTATGTGCTTATTTCTGTCAAAATTGAAGAAACATTCAAGTTTCCTAGAAGAATCCAGAGCTTGGGTAAGTCTATTATAGTTTACGAGTACCATGTATGTAAACCACGCTGGTGAATGCAGGTTAGGTTTGGCTATGGACGTTACAAAAACATGGCGTCATTACATTCATATTGCAGGGAATCACCCAAACTATACATCCCCTTTAAAAGCCGAAGTTATTCTCCTAAGAAATTCCTAGCATAAGTCCAGAGGGCATCAACCAGCAGACGACACTTGTACATAGTCACAAGAGTTTCAAAGTTAATGCATATCTGCGGCTGGGAGGTTATCTATGTCATGACACGCTTATCGATTGGGACAGGAGAATGGCGGTCTGACGTCACAGGGCCATTATCGACCAAACGTCAACATGGGCCGGGGCAGAGCTGTATATGGATATAAATCCTTTTTAAGTATATTTATTTCCATATTCTTGTATGTATGTATACTGTGTGGGTATGAAAGGAGAGTGATAATGTCCTCCATCAGAGAGACCTAAATTATATTTCCTTGTTGGAAGTTTGTTTCCTATCTTCTCTGCTGATTAACAATGGTGTTGTAGAGTCCACCACTGATTCTCAAATCCTTAAAAGCAGACCTCTGAGCTATGTTTATGTGAATATAGGTAGTGTAGGGTATAGGCATGTGGAGAATGAGATAATTGTTAATTCTGGTTTTCCCATCTGTCACAGGATTTCAATCTCCTCGGAGACCAGATCGACAATCATCATCCATCCACATCACCAGTAATCCTTACCACTAGCTGCCAGAAGATACTACCATGGGGCCTGTGGACATGTCTGATCCTACGCCCAGGTAGTGACCAACCGTGCCACTGGGAGAGATCCATCCCCAGGGAGCTGTAGGGTGAAGCCAGAGATTGCCTGCCATTGTGTCTACATGATTAGTGACAAGGTATTGTGGATTAAACAGTACCTTGGTGCCAGCCATCCCGGATGCAGAAATGATGTGCTACAGTGGACCGGACTTGGATACAGATGTGTTATATTCCAGAGGTTGTGGTCACTCTTAACCCGAAGTGCCTAGTCAACTGTGCCATGATTCCACAATAGCGCAAGGATGACCTTGGCTGCTACTGAAAGCAACCCTTGTTCTAGTCATGTATAAATTGTCTTTGTCTCCTCAGTGTCATTGATATTATTGAATACTTTTGCCTTATCCTTGTACTAGTTGAACTTATTACAATATGTTTTATGAATTCTACCTTCTTGGTTTAGTGTCCATCCTTCACTGTTCCTAGTTTTCTGGACTGTGTGTAATATCACTATATTGCTTATTTTACTGTGTTTTTTATGTTGACTAGGATAGGAGACTATCTAGTCTGGGGGCTTAATTCAAGTAGTGAGGAAGTCAGGCCAAGTTGCGCCTAGAAATATTTTATGTTCTGCAGTGCCATAATTTGCGTTTCCTCACCCCTGAAGTAGGCTGGATGTTCATTTGAGCTGCAGGATTCCGCCTAGACCTTTGCGAGCCAGCATCTCAACATTTTATAACTACTTCAGAGTGCTATTTGGTTTATCAGGGGAAAACCCTTACCAAGGCATGTGACATCAGCAGTATGTGACACCAAACTGCAAAATCACTGGCATGTAAGGTATTAGAAACCTGCTGGAGCAGGCTGTTGTGATATCATTTATGTAAACCAGGAACAAGGTTGGTGCTATCACACTGCGCTGAGGAACTCCTTCTTTAATTTTAGCCAGGTTGTTGATGTGTCCATCAATTCTGAATTTAGCTCTGTGTTTGAAAAGGAAGTTTTCGATCCACTTCTACATGTTGTGCACAACATCTGCCTATAGCAGTTTTAGTTATAGGCCTTCTTTCCAAACTGTATCAAAAGCACAAGAGAGGTCAAAGAAGACAGCAAGATATTTCTTTTTTCCTGGAAGGTGTTCTCAATGTCCTCTGCCAGATATGACAACTGGTCTTCTATGTTTTTATGCTGTCTGTATCATGTCTGTGTGGTGGTGATTACCTATTTAGTCTCCAAGAACCACATTAGTCTTTAATTAACTAATTTTTCCATCAATTTTCCTATACAACTAAGAAGGCTGATGGGCCTGTAGCTTTTTGGGTCTCTTCTGTCTCCACCCTTTTTAAGGAGAGGCTGGATGAGGGCTTCCTTAAAGGTTGATTGCACAATATCTGCCAGCTCTGGTTGTAAATGCAGAGGAGAAACTTCTTGGCAACAGGCCCAAGATAAGAGAGAAGTTCGTTTATAATGCCCTCAGCCTCTGGGGCTTTTTTCATTTTCAGTTCTTCAATTCCAGCTTCCAGCTCTTGCGTAGTGAACTTTTCTGACATGCAGGCCTCGATTGTTTTTGTGCTAGAGTCTGCTAGAAAAGCCTTGGTCTGGTTTCAGATTTCTTTTAATCTTTGCATGGGAATATGGATCTCACTTTCTTTCTGGTGTGTTGCAGTGAGTACATCTGCTGCTACCCTGCCAGTAACAGCTCCATTATCTGTTTGGAGTAAAACTCTGGCTTTTTCAGTCTTGACTCCATTCATGCTTTTTGTGAGATTGCACAGATGGGAAGTGTCTTTCTCTAGGGTAAATGACACAGTCTTTTTATGCCAGCTTTCCATCATCTGTTTATTTTTCTCTTTGATGAAGACTGCTTTTGCTCTATGAAGTATTAAATTTTTTGTCTGTCCGATCCTTCTCCATATTTTCATTATTGGTACTAAGTTTGGAATGCAGAGTGTCCAGTTTAGGCGACCTTAAGGTTCGCTGCTGCTTCCTGGTATGTTACTCTTGGCTGCATTTAGAACAGTTGTGTCTTCAGTTGGGCTTTTGATTCCAATTTTTTTAAGAAGACTCTCTTCAACATGTCATCCAACTGGGAAGTGAAAAGGCTCCAGTTAGCCTTCCTGTAGTTCCAGCTGGAAGGGTTCTTTTCCTCAGTGATTTCTCGACTTTTGTTAATAGACAGGATTATGGACCTGTGATCACTGCCTCCCAACTGTTGTCATACGTCCCATCTGGTAACTTTTTTCACAGCCTCAGTTGCTATAGACAAGTCTGAGGTGCTAGTTTTCCTCCAAGATCGCAATTAGTATGTAACTGGGTCATCAGGATTATTAATCAGAACCAGAGTGTTGCTGATGATCCAGTTTTCAACCTCTTCTCCTTTCACATTGAGGTCTGTGTAGCCCCAGCTGGGTCAATGGCTATTCAGATCTCCAACAGAAATCCAGATTCCTCTTTTTGGTTGTATGGGTTGTGGTGATGATGATGGAGACAATGGTTTTGGGTGTGGTGATGATGATGATGGAGGCAATAGTTTTGGTAGTGGTGATGATGATGATGATGATGGCAATGGTTTTTGTTGTGGTGATGATGATGATGATGATGGAGACAATAGTTTTGCTAGTGGTGATGATGATGATGGAGACAATAGTTTTGCTAGTGGTGATGATGATGATGATGGCAATGGTTTTTGTTATGGTGAAGATGATGATGATGATGGAGGCAATAGTTTTGGTAG